ATTTGAAAAAAAAAAAAAAAAATTTATTATTTTATTATTAATTATTTTTATTAGGTTAAAAAAAAAGAGAGAACGCCACGTCAGCAGCCATGTCAGCTAACCCAGTCAGCAGTTCTGGCCAACCAGGACCTGCCACGTGGCAAAACCACGTCAACCGGGGACGGGCCACGTTGGCGATCCGCGTACGCGCGATCGGACGGCCCAGATCAAGCGGGCGCACGGACGACCCAGATGCAATCGCACGAACGGCCCAGATTCAATAAAAAACGAACGGCCAATATTAAATCAAAATGGACGGTTGAGATCAAAAGACAAAAGGGTATAAATAGAATCCCCACACCTGACCACAAAAACCCTATCCGCCTGCCCTCGCCGGAGAAGACGAACCAGACGCCGGAGAAGCCGGCCGCTGCCACCCGCCGCCGCACCGGGGAGATTTCTGACCGCTGATCGAGGTAAATTTCATACCCCCGACTCGTTTTTCCACGCTGATTTTCCCTGTGGCTAAATCGGAGCCAAAATCCCGGCCAAACGGCCGGAAAACACGGCTGAAACCCAGCGGCGCCACCGCGCCCCTCCTCGGTTTTTGCCTCCGATGAGGCCCTTCCCGGCCTCCGTTTGATGCAATTTTTATATCACTGTGATCACCATTCTTTTCTCTATAGGTTGATCGGAGCCGAATCACCAAAACACGAACCTCACCGGAGAGCCGCCGCACCCGAGAGCACCGCCGCTGGTAAGCTTCGATTTTCCGTAATTTTTTGGCCCCCCGAGGGCCCTAGGGTTGTTTTATCACAAGGACTGATGCAAGTGTGGCCGAATTCGGCCGAAAATGACCAAACCGAGGCGAATCGCCGCCGCCGTCGCCGGAGCACGGCGGAGCCGCCGTGCCGGAATTGCGATATTGGCCAAAAAGGGGCCCTGGGCCTAATTTGTGATTTTTTGGAACACGTACAGGTACTAGTAGTGCGTTTCAATTCCCCGGAAAAAATTCAGGAAAAATTAGGGACAGCCTGTAGGCGCACTGTGAAGCCGTGTTCGGACCCCGAAACGAGTAAGGACCCCTCACTCTATTTCCTATCACGGTATTAAAGTTTAATAAATGATAAAACGGTATTTTATGAATCAATAGATGTGTGAAATTGTTTAAGGTCGCTAATGGAGCCCGAGTCTGGTGTATTTGTCGGTCAATTGTTGTTTGTTCTATTTTACGGTTTTAAATGCAGTATGAGGTCTGATGTTTTCATTTCATAGTTTCGTGTGCATATTTTACTATTTTATTGATTATGGGTTGAATGACTGAGAACCCGATGTTGTATGTCGTCTTGTTTGACATAAATTATTGGTTTGCTTGTTTGTGTGTGTGAATTGATGATGCTGACTGAGGAAAAGGGGAATGAAAGGTTATGTAAATTGATAATTGTATAATGTGGTCAGCCTGACTAGATATCCTGGGAGATGGTGGACGGACCGGGTCCGTAGGGAACCCTACCGGGATTGTGGTCTCTCATACCGGACGGGGTATGGAGACCTTATGTATTTTTGCGCCCATACCGGACAGGGTATGGAGACGGCCCGTTTCATCCTCATACCGGACGGGGTATTGAGGTTTATAGTTTTGGCGCCCATACCGGACGAGGTATAGGGACGGCCCTGGAATCTGATTACAAGTGTTAAGGGTTCACGGGTAGCGGGACCCCTATGAATCCCCATGGATACTAGTAGGCTGGTAAATGAGGAAAAATATGTTGTGTAATGATTGAATTGCAAAAGGCGTGATAAGTATTATGTTATACAGCTCACATGATTTCATGATGATGATAATGTTATTGCCTTCGTATATTGTTTTATGAATTTCACCGAGATATGTAGATAGTAAATGATTTTATTATTGATAAAAGAATTTGTTGTAAATTATGCTCCATTGGTCTTTTTGTGTTTTCTACCCACCTTTACCTCCGTGACGGTGAGATATCGTGATGTCTTTACTGGGCTAGTGTAGCTCATTCCTTATTTAATCATTTCAGGTCAGGAAGACATTGTTCCCGAGCTCGTTCCGCAGGAGGACGACGAAGGGGATGCCTAAAGACTCCATAGTTATAT